CCCTCCTACACTGCTGGTGAGAATGCAGTTTGGTGCAGCCACTGTGGAAAGCAGTATGGAGATTCCTCAAAAGACTAGGAATAGACTTACCATATGACCCAGGATCCTACTCCTGGGCATATATCCGGAAGGAACCCTACTTCAGGATGACACCTGCACCCCAATGTTCATAGCAGCACTATTTACAAAAGCCAAGACATGGAAACAACCTAAATGGCCGTTGACAGATGACTGGATAAAGATGTGGTATATTTATACAATGGAATACTATTCAGCCATAAAAACCGACAACATAATGCCATTTGCAGCAACATGGATGTCCCTGAAGTATGTCATTCTAAGTGAAGTAAGCCAGAAAGAGAAAGAAAAATACCATATGAGATCACTCATATGTGGAATCTAAAAAAAAAAAGAACATTGATACAAAATAGAAACAGACTTATAGACATAGAATACAAACTAGTGGTTGCCAGGGGGGAAGGTATTGGGAAGGGACAGACTGGGAGTTCAAAATTTTATAGATACTGACAGGAATACATACAATAGACAAACAAGATTATACTGTACAGCACAGGGAAATATATACAAGATCTTGTGGTTTCTCACAGCAAAAAAGAATGTGACAATGAATATATGTATGTTCATGTATAACTGAAAAATCGTGCTCTACACTGGAAATTGATACAACATTGTAAATTGACTATAACTCAATTTAAAAAAATTTTTAAAAAAAAGGAAGTAAAGAACCCGGTTTCTTGGATGCAGAAGCCTGTTATGCCTTGCTGCCATCATAGCCAAAAGAAAATGCTGAATAATTGACAAAAACGTAACTTTCTTGAACCCATCAAGAGAACTGAGTTCACAGGCAACCAGCTAGCCTGAAATCTAGAAGAGAACAGACAGGAGCGCTAGCTCACCTGTAACAAGGATGAAGACAGCACCATCTGACGAGAGTAAACTTTCTCCTAAAAATCTTTAACCAGTTGCTAAGGCCAAATGTGGGCTGGTATGGTAGAGAGTCTGGGGGCCTCAGGCACAAGGGAGATTCTCACCTACTCGCAGGGTCTCCTTGGACCACCAGGTACTCACGAGGAAGCCTGTGGGTAGGACCAGAGATAGGGAAAAGCCTCCCTCCTCAGCCAGATCCACAACGTTACTAAGTACACGTTCTATCTTCCAAGGTACCGCAGACATTTTTGCCAGTTGTTTCCCTCCCAAATAACTACGTAGCCTTCTTCTAACATCTAGTGGCAGTTTCCTTGTATTTCCAGCCATTAAGCTGCTTTCTTGCTGCTGAGTTTTCAAGTCAATGCCGTATTTTAAGTTTTTGTGACGACAACATCCTATTTCTGATACTAACTTCTGTGTCTGTTACCTACTGCTACCTAACCACCGTTGTGTGCTCATAATTCCGTGAATCAGCAATCTGGGCTGAATTCAGCTTGGCAGTTCTGGTGCCCAGGGTCATTTATGCACCTTCAGTCACCTGGAGGCTTGTCCGGGGTCAGATGGTCCAAGAGGGCCTCACGTGCTTGCCTGACAATTGGTGCTGATGATCAGCAAAGCCTCTCTCCCCATGTGGTCTCCCATCCTATAGGAGGCTGGCCCAGACTGCTTCACACTCTGCTCTCAAGAGTCTAACCACAGCCAAAATTTAGAGGGCAAAGGCCAATGTGTGTTTCAAGTCTGTTTCTATCATGTTTAATAATGTTTCATTGGCCAAAGAAAGTCATGTGATCGAGCTCATCTTCAAGGGGTAGGAAAGTAAACTCCACCTCTTAAGGAGCATCAAAGTCACATCAAAAAGAGACGTACGTAGACGGACAGGCAAAATTATCATGGCAACAATCTACCACATCATTGCTCACCAAAAAAAAAAAAAAGAGGCAAATTAAAACACAAGAAACCACTTACCCACTAATACAACTAAAATTAAACGGACAGCACCACGTTGTCAAACAAATGAAACTTCCATTCATTGATGATGGAAGTATTAATTGTTCCAGCCACTCTGGAAGACTGTTCGGCAATATCTACTGATGCTAAAGCTACCCTACCCAACGCTTGCCCAGCAATTCCACTCCAAAGTTTATACCCAAGAGAACTGAGAACATACGTTCACAGTAAGACTTGCACACAAACATTCTCAGCAGCTTTATTCATAACAGCAAAACCTGGAAAGAACCCAAATGTCCATAAACAGAATAGAGTTTTTAAACTGTGGTATATTCGGGCAATGGGATATTACATAGCAATTTTAAAAGAGAATAAACTACTGATAAAGTGACAAAGACTTGATTTCATGGACACTATATTAAGTGAAAACACCGGGCACAAGAGGGCATACTGTGTGGTTCTATTTCTCTGAACAGGAAAAACAAAACTACGGTGATAGAAGTCAGAACACTGGTTACCTCTGGGGATGGGGCTTACTGACTGGGGTAGGACCCAATGGAACCTTCTGGGGAGATAAAATATTTGTATCTTGATGTGGGTGGTGTAGACATATATAAAATTCATTCAGGTGTACACTAAGACTTATGAACTTTTACGTAAGTTATACCTCAATTAAAGAATTTTAAAACACAAAAATAGAACCCTGTATGTACAGGTAAAAATGGAGAATGGCCCCAGGGGTGAAGCTCTAGAGAGCATGGATCTTGGAGCCAGACTCTGGCCCTTAACATCTGCATGACCTTGGTTAACTCACCTCAACTTGCCAGGCCTCAGTTTCCTCATCTGTGAATTGGGGATAACAGTACCTTCCTCAAAAGTGTCATTGTGAGGACTACATAACTCCAAAGATGCAAAGTTTAGGGTAGTAGCTACTATCCAGTAATAGTAAGCTCTAAATAATTATTTGCCATTGTGATGATGAATGAGTGGATATTCACAGAAAGATAGTCACTCTAAGATAAAAGGAACAATTTTCTGGAAACTTATAAAATGTCAAAAATATTTTCACTTAATTCCATTGCTTCAAAATACGTAAGTGTTTAATTTGACAGAATTACAAGATATATTCAGGAACCCATAATCATGGTGGGAGAGTTTAATGTAGCTTTCAGGGTAAATGACAGATCAGAGACTGCTAAGGACTGAATGTTTGTGTTCCCCAAAATTCATATGCTGAAGCCGAATCCCCAGGGTGATGGTGTTAGGAGGTGGGGCCTTTGGAAGGTAATTAGGTTAAGAGGGGGGATTACTGCCCTTATAAAAGAGACCCCAGAGGGTTCTCTTGCTCCCCTTCTGCCACGGGAGGACACAGCCAGCAGATGGCCATCCACCAACCGGGAAGCAGGCCCCCACCAGACATCAAATTTGCCAGCCTTGATCTTGGACTTCCAGCCTCTGACTGTAAGAAATAAATTCTGTTCTTTATAAGCCACTCAGTTGATACTATTTTTGTTATAGCAGCCTGAACTAAGACAGAGACCAGTATTTTAAAATGTGTAGACATTTCACTACTATATCTAAAATAGATAAACAAGGACCTATCATATAGCACAGGGAACTATATTTAATTTCTTGTAGTGAGCCATAATGGAAAAGACACTGAAAATATATATACATGTATGTATATGTATAACTGAATCACTTTGCTGTATACCTGAAACTAACATTGTAAACCAACTACACTTCAATAAAAAATAAGAAAAATAAATAAAATAAAATGTGTAGACTTTGAAATACAAATAATATGCTCCATCTAGTGGACACATGTAGCATACAACACACTGACTTCAACCATTCATAAAAATTGACCATATGCTAAGGGCATCAATTAGAGACTGCACTCAGCCACAATAAAACCAGCCCAGCCTTCCCCCAGACTCCCCCCCACAAAAAAAAAATGCAGTGTCATGTACCAGTAAGAAATACATCTTTTTCGTATAACAAGATGTCCAGAAATAAACAGCCCAGGACTGGTACAGCCACACAAAGATGCCAACTGGGGAACCAGGATGGTTGTGACTTCTGGCCACACTTCTGGCTTTCACTCTCATGGTCACAGGATGGCCCCTCTGGCACTGGACATGGTGTCTGCTTGCACAAAAGGCAAGAAGGAGAGGGTTCTGACTGAATGAAACCATTCCTTCGCAACATCTTTCCCAGGACTCACACCCAATGATGTCTCATACTTACACTGGCCAGGACTGGGGGGCGTGGCCTCCCTGGTGGCAAGAGGGACAGCGGAATAAAGGGTTTTTTTTTTAAAAATGCACATTCCCAGTCTGAACAGAAAAAAACCTAGGTGCTTTTGTAAGTAAGAAGGGACAAATCTGGTAGGCAAGTAGCAAGACATGCCACACTAGACCTAAAAGCAAATCTCCACAAATACTTAACATTCAACAACATAAAACCACACACTCTGCTCATAGCGTAATTAAATGAGAAAGCAACAACAGGAAGGCAACTTTAAAAATACCCACATACATGCAGGAACTTTCCAGAATGAGAGGAACAGTATCTTGAAAGGAGTGTGGATCACATATGTGTATACCTCTGTCAAACTCATCCAAATGTACACTTAAGACTTATGCATCTTCAGTGTGATTTACACCTCTATAAAAATATCCCCAGGAACTGTCATTTAAAAATCTAATTCCATTTAACACATGCATCAAAGAATAAGTGAGAATGGAAACTAAGACAATATGGAGAATTAAACCAAAATGAAAATACACATTGAAAGGTGTGATGTCGCTAAACGAGCACTAGGAGAGATGATTACAGCCCTGAAAGTTTGCATTTTTCACAAACTGGAAGTTAATCAGCAAGGGGCCCACGGAAGGGAAGCGAAGCTGATAAAGGCAGGCCGCCCATCCTGATGCCCTCCCTCCTGGCGTGAGTCCTCTTATGCACGGTAAGCGAGGAGCTGTGCCGGAAGGCCTTCTCACACTGGTTACACGCGTAGGGCTTCCCCGCCGTGTGGGTCCGCACGTGCACAATCAGGTGCGAGGACTGACCGAAGGCCCGCCCGCACTCCTGGCATGCGTAGGGCTTCTTGCCGGTGTGGGTCCTCGAGTGCTTCCTGAGGGACGAGGGCTCGCTGAAGGCCCGCCCGCACTCCTGGCACGCGTAGGGCTTCTCTCCCGTGTGGGTCCGCATGTGGCTCTTAAGGGTGGAGAGGCGGCTCAAGACCTGCCCGCAGGTGGCACACTCGTACAGCTTCTCCCCCGTGTGGATCCTCTTGTGGACGTTCAGGTGCGTGCTCGTCCGGAAGGGCTTCCCACACTGGCTGCATTCGTACGGCTTCTCTCTGGTGTGGGTCCGCAGGTGCGTCTTCAACGACGAGTGTTCCCTGAAGGCTTTCCCACACTGGCCACATCCAAAGGGCTTCTCTCCCGTGTGAGTTCTCACGTGGCTCCTCAGCGACGACGGCTGATTGAAAGCCTTCCCGCAGTCCTTGCACTCGTAGGGCTTCTCGCCCGTGTGGTTTCTCTGGTGCAAGATCAGGTTAAAGTTCCTCGTGAAGGTTTTCCCACACTGACTGCACTCAAAGGGCTTCTCTCCGGTGTGGGTTCTCAGGTGCCGCCGCAGGTTCGAGGAATACTTGAATGCCTGCCGACACTCCTGACACTCAAAGCACTTCTCCGCCGTGTGAGTCTTCTCATGCCTGAGGAGGTCGGAGCTGTACCTGAAGGATTTCTCACATTTGTTACATGCGAAGGTTCTATCCCCACTACGGGTCTTCTCAGGCACCACCAGGTGAGCGGTCTGGAAGGACTTCCCGCTCTCTCGGCATTCACAGGGGCTCCCTCCAGCATGAACCCCCTGGTACTGAAAAAGTGGTTTGATGCTGTTGAAGGGTTTCCCAAGTTCACTGTATTTATAGAGTTTTTCTCCAGTCTGAGGTTGTTCCTGTCAATCGAGGAGAACGGGAGACCAGAGGCTTTACTGCATTCACGGCTACTATATCCT